TATTTGAATGAAAGCTCATCTGTGTTGGTTGAATCCATACATCAGGTGATGAAGGTTGAAGTGTTAGACCGAAAATTCAAGGTGAGTCTTTCTTTTCGTGTTGGAAATACATTTGCAAGCCTCAAACTTTGTAACCAAGTAATACACAAACATGTTCTTCTGAGTAGTAGTCAGACATATCCTGCACAAGTCGGTCAAGTTGTGGGGCCTTGGCGTCAACCATCTGTACCCAGAAGTGTCCACAACAAACAAACAAACAAACAAACAAACAATAGAACACAAACCTCCTTGACATGTTCTTCTGAGTAGTAGTCGGACATATCCTGCACAAGTCTGTCGAGTTGTGGGGCCTTAGCGTCAACCATCTGTACCCAGAAGTGTCCACGTGTACCCAAAACAAACAAACAAACAAACAAACAAGAAAACACAGACCTCCTTGATGTAAAGTAATAAAGCTGTTGAATCTTTTCAAACTGGATAAATTGAAATTTTTATACGTAAACGTTTCAGGTACCATCCGGTACCTTTCATCAGTACAATTTATCCAGTTTGAAAAGATTCAACGGCTTTATCAGTGAATATCACTTTTAAATTATCTTTATCCTGGATGATTAACCTTCACCAACGTACCTCCTTGACGCATTCTTCTGAGTAGTAGTCGGACATATCCTGCACTTATCGGTCCAGTTGTGGGGCCTTGGCCTTCCAACACTTCCAAGACTACAGAAATGGGACTTACCCCAAAGTAGACTGGTCCATTCCGTGAACAAGGTTGATGGAGTCAACTGAAAATTTGGGGTAAGTCCCATTTCTGTAGTCTAAGTGTTGGAAGTTAAAGCTTAGTCGACTTTGTTTCATGACTTGAACCAACACAGATGAACTTTCATGCTAAACACAAACCTCCTTGACATGTTCTTCTGAGTAGTAGTCCGACATATCCTGCACAAGTCTGTCGAGTTGTGGGGCCTTGGCGTTCACCATCTGTACCCAGAAGTGTCCGGGCGTCTCAACAGCTGACACAAACACCTCGAAGAAGTCGTTGTGTTGCGGGAGGGGAGAGTTGGGAGGGGAGGTGGGGCTCAGTTTCTTAGCTGAGGAGGAACACAGAGAAAAGTGTTGTATTATAACCTGGAACAAAATGTTTCTATGGATGGACTTCCACACACATTGTGATACTTTGCAAGTCCAACATACATGTACTAAGATGTTACAAGCACTACATGGACTAAGATGGTATGGCCTCCTACAAAGAATGGACAGTGAGAAGTGGCCTAGGAAGATCATCTCACTGGATGCGGAAAGCTGAAACCCCATGCGGTCAACCATGGAAGAGATGGATGGACAACATAAAGCAGGACTTCCACCACCTTAACCTGCATAAAATCAACCCACAGGCATTTTATTTTTAGTGGCGAGCTGCCCTCCAGCCTTAGCTGTGTGCAAGCATGTCTAAACCTTGGGAGATGGGGACCAAGTTTCAGACAATGCATTAACTGGATACTGTGAGTACTGTGAATGTACATATGCTGTACCTTCCTGTTGGTGTGTCCTGGGTTGCCGGGTATCGGCCTGCCGGTCCCGTGTTCCCGGTCGCTCGGCACCGCGCCGGTGCTGCCGGTTGCCCGTGGTTACCGCCAGCCTCTGTCTGAACGCCTCCTCCTCAGCTATCTTCTCCTCCAGCAGACCCTGGGAACAACATGTCAATCAAACATGTCAATCATACATACCATCACAGCAGGAAAACATATTGTTTTTGCTCAGTTTCTTCTTCTTCGTCTTCTCCAAACACAACCTAGCTGGTATGTTACGCCAAATGGCAGTTATACCAGGTATACTATACAGATACAGAAGCTGGTGTGGCCATACAGATACAGATACATGTACGTAAGGCCAATGAACTGGACCAGTCATCTGTCACCATGGTAACTGGTGCTGTAGCAGATGCCCTGTGGTGTTGGGTTACATTCGTAGCAGAACAGACAGACCCTGGAAGGAACATGTCATACAAACCTGTCAATCATTCATTTATTACATGCTTACCATCACAGAGGGGAACATATCGTTTTTTCTGTTTCTTCTTCTTCTTGGACCTCTTCTGCAAATAATTTTAAAGTCAATGACCTGGACCATATGTCTGTCACCATGGTAACTGGTGCTGTAGCAACACCCTGTGGTGTTGGGTTACATTATGTAGCAGGACAGAGTTGGACGGCCTGCCTGCTCACCACACATACATGTAACAAATGTATTTGACTTTTCTTGCTCACCCGTGCATGTTCTATCTGTTCCTTGGTGCCAGTGATGGTGGCCAGTTTGACGCAGTCCGGGCTTCTCTCGTCCCCTCCCCGGTCGATCTTGATCTTCGCGTGTGACGCCCGACACAGCTGTCTGATTGTGTCACCGTTCTTCCCTGGAAAAAAGTTGTCAGAGAGTTTTTTCATTAGGGCAACGTCAGTCTAATTTTTTTTGCTCTCTCAGATTCTTACGAAACTGAATGAAGCTGGCAAATATCATTATAATTTCCTATGTCTTTGCAATTAATAATCTAGCCTGGTTATCAACCTACTTAAGCTCCCGAGTCCTACATTCTCTGCGCAAATACGTTTGGTAACCACGCTATTAGCAATCGGGCATTAATTTACAATGATTAAATGACAATGACAATGCACTAAGTTAGATAACTGAGGTATAAGGGTAGGAAAAAGTACTACATATAATAATTGTAACATAATTACTATATTACATCTATGCCAAAAAAGCAGTTACTCAAGCAACTGGATTTGATTTTGGAAGTTGCTTCAATGACTGCTTTTTGGCATATCTGACTACCTGGATGTTTAACCTCTACCAACGTATATTACATCTATATCAACAGGATCTCTTCTTTCTTTTTGAAACAAACATGGACAAATTTACGCAATGCAGCTATAGTTAGACTCCCTCCCACCTATGATCCTGCCCAGTGCCCTCTGTGGCAGGTGGATCTCCTCTGACAGGATGACCGGCTGGTCTGCGATGATTTTGTGGATCAGTCTCTCGGCTTCCTGAGCTTTTTCTGGAGCCCCGCGGATCAGCACAACTCTGTCCTCAGTATCATCTAGACCTGACTCATCACGGAAGTTCAGTCTTGCTCCTGACACTTCCTGGACCTGAGAATAAGGAATAAATACCAGGTTTATTATATCTATTTTATTTATTCAGTAAATATTTACATCAATGAAGGTTAGACATCCAGGTACTGAGATATGAAAAAAAAGTTACTCAAGCCACTCTCCAGTGTCTCCAGTGGTAGTATATGCTACATTTGTACCTGAAACGTCTGATCGTTTCCAAAATCATATCCAGTACTAGTTGCTTGAGTAACTGTTTTTTGGCGTATTCAGTAAATATTTCTTTCTTTATGCATTTGGATGAACATACAGCCAAGCCTATAGAATTGCATAACAATAACCATTGTACAGCTGATCAATGAAGATTAGATGGCAGGTATACATAGAACATTATGTGTGATTAAAAATAAATCAGGCAACTGGATGAATTCTTTGGGGTGCCATTAAGGTCCTTTAAAGTCAGGTGAACTGCTGACCCTATCATATTTCACAACACTGAAACAAGCTAGAACCGTTTGAAAGAGAACACCAGAAACAAAACATAGCACAGAGTTACACTTTGTGTCTCAAGGGCCCACTGTGTCAACTGTTCTCTCTAAGCCAATTTAGACCATACCCATGTAAATGCGTAATGTCTGGTGTAGGGTCAACTTTAGGCTAACCTACAGCACAGAAGCTGGTATTATTGTACAAAGAACAGAGTTACACTTTGCCAAACTTTTCTGTCTGAAGGGCCCACCGTGTCAACTTTTCTCTCTAAGGCTCTCTAAGCCAACTAGACCATGTACTCAGTAAATGTAATGTCTGGTGTAGGGTAAATTTTTGGCTAAACTACTGCACAGAATTTGGCATTATTGTACAAAGAACTATTCATAAGTGACCATCATCTGTGTGTATGGACTACTAGGCTATTGCAGTATTGGGGCCACTTTTTGCTGTTTTTTATTTACAAGATCAACCCACAGGACAGAGACAAGTGGCGAGCTGCCATTAAGCCCCAGATGTATTGTGCAAGCACGTCTAACCCTCGGAAGACGGGGAACAACAGACGATAAACCGGACAGTGAGTGAGTGAGTGAGTGAGTTTATTCTTCTCATTGAACCAAGTATGAAGAAACCTGTCTATAGTGACCACCAGTGTCTACTTTTTTTTATTAAGTTAAGTTATTATAGACAAGCTTTACTGTTTTCTTAAAGCCTTGTATAGAAATCTCACACTACCGGTATAGCCCTGTTTATATAGTATAGGTATCACCCATGAAATGTAACAGTCATTCCTTTTATTTAGAACAGACCAGGTGACAAGCTGTCCTTTGTTTGCGGTAACCCGAAACCTTCAGTTTGTAACTGGAGTTAGCGTCAGTTTGCGATCAAAACACTCAGTGGAAAGCCTGTAAAACTGGAGTTAGTACTGCTAGATAACCAGAGTTACTAAATGCTGGCAAATTAACAGGTTTGTACATTTGGATTAAGCATTGAACTGGATTGTAGTTGATAGCATGTGTCACTTGCAGTAGGGCATGCATGCCCTTTTTCGTAAGGCGTAATCATGCCTTTTAGATCTTTGTAATCCGTAGGCAGCCTGGCCAAAAATCATACATATTTGTAATCAGTACATTAGCTGTAACACACATTTGGTCATTTTCATTCTACATAAAGCATATATTAGGCAGTTACATTTATGCAACATAACATGCAATTCATAAACTACAGTAACTCCATGATTCAATGCAACTCTGAAAATTTAACGTAATTCCTAATCGGCAGTGACACGTTTTTATAATATAATTCTAAACACCCCTCCCCCTTACAGGCCCTTTTGAGCACAGGAACACTAAGTCTTGAAGAAAGTTTGGGACAATCTTAAAGGGGGTCTGTTCACACTTAAAGATGGCTGAAGGTGTGGACAGGGACAGTCTTCAGGACTCCCTGGCACAGAACGAATCTGCACAACCGTTCTGGGATAACTTCTTCCCGACAACGACTGCTGATACAACAACGGTACAACCTTCCATGCAGGTATTGTTTTTATTGCTGTTAACATTTGTTGTTGTTGTTATGATGCTTGCCTCCTCTCATATACCTGTGCCTAAGCATATGATCTTTTCTCCAATATTCCGCTGTATTGTTCCTCTGGTATATAACCACCATTCAGCATAAGATACCAGTTTTGCTGGCAAAACAACATATTGCTAGGGCACCTGTCAAATCTAACCTTGTAACTTTATATTCTTAACAGTATCATTGATTGAATGATAATTGTTTAATGCTGCCCTAGGTGTGAATTATTGTATCACTACTTGGTGACCCTGCATTCCAATGTCTGGTTATGCCTACTCAATAAACATGCTTCTAAATGTTATGTACATGTAGCACATGACATCCATGAATAGTTCCATCAGGTTGGTAAGACACAGAGTAAAGAGACTCTTTTTACACGACCAAGTCTTTTATTCAGCCGACCTTTTGGTCTGTCACCTTGTTCAGCACAGGTGTCACTACAAGTGCTATGGATGTGTTCCCTTTTAACCATGCAGACATGTAAATATTTTAAGTTTGGGAATGCATCTATAACCGTGACACCTGTTTTGTGCAATGTGAACCAGTCAGAATTGCCCTGAGGAAGGTGACAGACGGTCACCATGGACAGAAACGTCAGCTGAATAAAACACTAGTCTTTCTTCAGCATATGACATTGTATATAACTCACTTATGCAGATCTGGCAAATAAATAAACATTCTATCTTGCACAGGTCTGGGGGCACCTGAGGATCAGTAACCCCTGGCTTCCAGTCCGCTCGAGGATCGGAGCTTTCTACGCAGCCAACAAGGAACAAACCATGATGGCGATTCACAGGGCTATAGAGCGCAGAGACCCGTTCAACCCTGACCAGCCAGCCGACCCACAGGTGTGTGGATGATATAGTGTGTTCGTCTTTTTTCCCCTTTTTTTACACAATATTTTTCAATAATATAATGTCTTAATCAGACTTTTTTTTTTGCCCTGCGGTGGCATAGATACATGTACATGTACTTCTGCATTCATTTCGTTTCACTGCTGAGTGATACTTAGCACGAGAAATACTCATCCTAAGTCGGTGTGTTACGCCAAAGGGAAGTTATACCGGCTATACTGATAGTATCAGTATCAGTGATACAGTTAAATCATACGTGTACAGGGGTCAATATGGATGGTACTGTATGTGCAACCCATGTATATGCAGGCCAGGACAAGGGTATAATAAATATGTCAACACTACATAATGCTTTAAAGCCATGTGAGGTAAAAGATTGACTGACAGATTAATTGATTGATTGATTGACTGATTGCTGTTCCCCAGGTGATAGTAGAGTTAGAAGGAGCCTCCCTCCTGGTTCCTGTTAACATGCCGATTGATAGATGTAATTGATAGATGTAACTGATAGATGTAATTGATAGATGATTGATTGATTGATTGATCAATTGATTGCTGTTCCCCAGGTGATAGTAGAGTTAGAAGGAGCGTCCCTCCTGGTCCCAGTTATTTTCCACTCCCAGCTTGGCCACGACTACTTCACCTCCATCCTGAACGGCCCCTTCCTCAAGTCATGTCTCAAGACAGAGCTGGAGAGAGTCGGCTACAAGGAGCCCATCTTAGTCACCGCCGAGAAGCAAGGCTTCTCCAACACATCGTCTTCAAGTCTCGACGAAGAAGTTAAGGACGTCTTGGAGAAAATGCGACAAGCGACCACACAGCTCTCGGAGCAATCCAAATGTCCTCAAGCAGAGAGCAGGGAGACTGACGCGCAAACTTTCACGCCAAGGCAAGAAAGGACTCTGATTGGTGGAAACGGTTCTGGGAAGAGTCCATTCGAGTACCCGAGCGGGGTGGCAGTGTCAGAGGAAGGGGAGATCTTTGTAGCCGACTGCTACAGTAAGATGATCCAGGTTTTCGGTGAAGACAGAGCGACAGAATTCCTGACAACCATCCACGGAGACGAGACAATCGAACCGTCAGATGTGGCTATAGATGGAGAGGGGAAACTGTGGGTTGTGGGGTACAGAAATACGGCAGACTACGCCGTAAGATACACCAAACAGGGGCAGAGACTTGCCATGTTCAAGCTTCAAGTTGAGACCGAGTGGTTGCGAGGGATTGCGGTGGATGTAGAAAAAAATCACATCCTCGTAACACAAACCACAGGAGAGGAACCGAACCTACACGGAGAAGTGCTTGAGTTCAAACCAGATGGGACTGCTGTGAGGACTGTAGGGGGACAGCAGGGGATGAAGTACCCACGGTACATCACTGTGGACGGGGAGGGCAGAATCCTTGTCTCAGACTCCAACAGTAACTGTATCTACGTCTACAAGAACGCACAGTTGCAGCTCAAGTTCGGAAACACCGGGAAGAAGAGAGAGAGAAGCGAAGGGATGCTGGACAACCCTCGGGGCGTCTGTACGGACAGTTCGGGGAACATCATCGTGGCTGACAGCGGGAATTGTCGCGTCAAGATGTTCGACAAGCGGGGGCGGTTCCTCAAACAGGTTGCCACGGAGACGGCCAGGCCGCAGGTCGTCGCCATGACGCCACAGGGTCAGCTGGTGGTGACGGACACAGAAGAAGACCTGGTCATGGTCTTCGATTCGCTGCTGGGTTCGATGACATGCGGTTCAGAGCGATGCACGACGTGTGACCACTTGGAGGAGGGCGCCACCTTCAGTAGCCATGCTACGGAGGAATCCTTCCAAATGAAAGACAGCATGACTTGCCGATCTACTTACGTCATCTATCTCCTCTCCTGCAGCAAGTGTGGGATGCAGTTCGTGGGAGAAACTAAAGAGGAGCTTCGTACGAAATTTAGCAGTCTTGTAGCCAGCATCAACAACAACAAGACTTCGGCGCTGGCGAAGCATTTCAACAGCGCGGGGCACTCGGTGAAAAACGTCCGCGTCCGTCCGATCGTCCAGATCGAGAGTCGCGATGATCAGTTGAGGAAAGACGAGGAAGCGTTTTGGATCGAGACGTTACAGACCGAAGCTCCGGACGGGTTGAACCTTCCGAAGAAGGCTGAAGGCAAGAAAAAACTGAGCGACTTTCAGCGAAACTCTCCATCATTTCATCTACCTTAGGATAATTGTTATGAAATAAAGACTAAGCTTTAACTTCCAACACTTAGATACAGAATTGGAACTTACCCAAATTTTCGAGGATAATTGCTTTCCTCAAGAGTTTGTTGTAAGTTATAATTCTCCTTTTCAATGGAGTCTTCATCAAAGTAGAAATTTATTAAAAAAGCTCACATAGATAAATTGTAAAATTTTAAAGATGGCTTTTTATGAAAATACATACCCCCAGTATAAAGCCTTTGTAATTGTACAATGTACCTACAATGTATATGTTTGTACATAGAAATTTTAATATGGTTTGGACAGTAACTCAAAGTTGTATTAATAGATGCAAGGTATGTTTCACTCTGAAATAAGAAAAAGAGCAAATAATGTTATTGTCATAGGCACTGTATACATTCTACCTGCATTCATGCATCATATTGTAATATACATGTAATGTTGTGGTCTATGCATACATCAAGAAAATGGAAAAACATGAAAACATTTTATGTCATGATCAACTCACTGTCATTCTGAGACTGAAATTGCTTGCAACAAGGAGGTTAAAAATCAGATTTTTACCCCCCCCCGCTTGGGACCCTAAAAAGGTCAATGACCTTAGAAACCTTGACCTCTGACCTGTTTGATGGTCGCGCCCTGTCGGCCAATCACAGCTCCCACGACCCTGCGGGGAACTTTGACCTCGATGGTCGTCTGTCGAGATGTGGCCATGGACTTGGCCGCTTCTTCCTGTTCAAACTCATCTGTTCAAAACAAAACAAAAGATCAATTCATACCTCCAATTGTTAAAAGATATCATAGTTTTATATATTTTACTATTTCTAATGAGTAAGGTACGTACCAATAGACTCTGCCGATTGGACATACAAATTTTTCTATTGCTTTTTCATAGGAAGTTGACAACTACTTAAAACTAGACTTCACATTAGGATGAACATGTCACATGTATTTACTAGACAAGTGATAATATTACACAGAGTGTTTTATTTACAGCTCTATTTGGCCAAATTTTCAAGACTTACATTTTAAGACACAAACGTTACTTGTGACCTCAGCAGGCAGGAGGTTAACAACTAAATACCTTCCAGTCTCTGTCCCTGGCTCCTCTTAACCAGTAGATAGCCGGTTACCATGGCAGCAGGAACGGCCACGCCCAAGGCCACCTTCTGGCTGGTAGTCAGGTGGTTCAGGGCATCTCCCAGATCCCTTAACCGCTCCATTTGTACTTACAACTTACACCTACAGATAGGAAAAACAGAACACAAGATCATATCAGGGCCCATCACTTAACCGCGACGGGGGCAGACATTGTCCACCAGATAGTACCTTTGACCCAGTGTTGACGTCACACTTCAAAGAAGCCATGTGACAATCCTCACTGGGTCAGTCTACTGAAGGAGACCAGAGTGACTGTTCAAAAGCTCTAGGTGAGAGAACTTATTTGTGTTGGATCTAAAGTTTTAACTCTAAACATGTAACTACCAACACAGATGAACTTTTATGTTAGAACACAAGATATTAAACTTAATTAGATCCAACACAATGAAATTTCTCTCACCAAGAGCTTTCGAACAGTCTATCTGGTTTTCCTCAGTAGACTGACCCAGTGAGGTGGCTTCTCTGAAGTGTGACGTGAACACTGGGTCAAAGCATGGAGGTAAGGTATTCTAGTAGATGATGTCGCCCCTGTCGCGGTTGAGTGAAGGGTGATGGACCCTGATGTAAACAGCCTCTTTCACTCCTCTCAGGAATCTCACAACACAAGATAATTCAACTCTACTACTGGACAAATTACAAAGATTACCTCCAGATGTTTTAAGTGACATCCACAACTCTTCTTTAATGTCACTTAATTGGTCAACAATTATACATAGGTGGAAAAACCAGTTCATTTCAGTGACTAAAGAAAAGAAAAAAGGATGTCGCTTGAAATGTCTAGAAGTAATCTTCATATTTATCCAGTAGTAGAGACTTTGCGTTAACATCTGTGTCCATAATATCACCAGGGTCCATAATATCGCCACCTTGAGAAATAGTGTGCTTAAAGATATTTTTACTGCAACATACTTTTGGTATGCACTCCTGCACACCTCAAATGACGTACATATCTAGGGTATGTTGCAGTAAAAATATCTTCAAGCATGCACACAAGCAATATTTCTCAAGGTGGCGATATTGTGAACCCTGGTGATATTATGGACACAGATGTTACATGTACCTACGTAGATCTATGACTAGTATGAGTGTTTGAATCAACTTTGACTCTATCTAAATACAGATACCCCAAAACCCCTACAACACCCTTTAAAAGCTACATGTCTGCCAGTGCCAGGTTGAATAGGTTATGTTATCAAACTGCCATTGGAGCCCTTTCTACAAAATGTAACCTTGTTTTCTCTGATGGCATATGGGAAATGTTGCTTTTGACACATGAATTTGGCTTGATTACAACTGGATTAAAGTGTATATATAGGATCATAGTGTGTATATACAGTTGCATGATAGTGTATATATACATGGATTTCAAAATCCTGCCAATATCTGTTGTTGTTAACGTGTTGTCAGCTTATAAGTTATAGTATTTGTTTGAATTGAAAGCTAGCGATTGTTAATAAAGTATGCAAGTCTCATACTTCATTGAGATAATTTAAATTACATTATAACGATAAAGTTTTAACAAACATTTTTCTTTTACCACAGCTAATAACATATAGGATACCAGTCAAAATGGCAGATACAATTACTAAAGTATGTTATTGTTAGATGTTAGATACAGGTACACATGGGTTGATGGCACACATGTAATCTTAACAAAGGTCATTGACCTCATAAATCTGGGCTAATCCATTTTCCCTGGGGGAGGAAAGAATCTTAATCTGTGAAAAGCCCTGAAATATTAATGTGAAAAATTCAAAGGATTTAATACTGAAACATATGATCCCTCGTAAAAGAGACAAAAAATCCAAGTACTCCAATTGCCTTAGAGTAATGAATATTTTGTAGGTTAGATTCTATTACAACAAGAGGCATAAATTAAAAACTATGTTGTTCACATCTGCTTTTAAATATTCATGTTTCTTAACACTCAGCATTTAAAAAAGGAAAAACAATTTATAATCTGATTGATGAAAATGAGACCTTAGAATTCGATGTGAAGAAAAACAGACAACATGCAACAACCACGGTGTGATACCTTCTTTCCCCCCAGCCTGAGTTTATGTTTGCATAGTCAGCAGTAAAAAAAAAAAATTAAACAACAAGGAAAAACATTTATTTGATCAAGGAAATTGTGAGGAGGTTTAGCAATCTTATTTTCGAACTTACCTGCGAGACCTAAGTATTTGATTTCTTGCGAAAACAACAAACAACAACAACCGCGGTGTGATACCTTCTTTTCCCCAAGTTGTGGAATGTCATAAAACGAGGGCAACATGCGACACAAAGGTGAGAAATTCTCAAGAAACGCAGCTACAAAACACATGTTCAAAGCTATGGACAGCTATATCTGATGCTATCAGTATTGTTTAATAGCCAGCAAAACGGATTAATCTAAAGCTGGAATCGTAATCTTATAATAACTTGCGTAAACATATTGGTCACGATAATTTCTTGGAAAAAAATTAGGGTAAGGTGACACTGACAGCTAGGGTTGGAGCATGCGACCTCATAAAATAGCGATCTACATGCGATATTTTAACATTCTTGTGTATTCATAAACAGTATTGGATAAGACAAACCTTGTTTGATGTTGAGAAGAAGAAATGTTGCCTGTTTATGGAGGTAGAAAGGCGTGAAGTTGAGGAGAAGAATCCGTAGTTCTGGCGACATCAGACGAAAGTCGCCGCCATTTTCTCCCGATGCACGGTGGGAAGGCCTGGGGGCATTTCGAAGTCAAGTTCTAGGTTTGTGTCCATTTTGTACGTATTTATTCGTGAAAGCTGGGATTTTCTTTGCCTTGCTTTTAGAGTTAATGCATACAAAGGGAAGAACGCATTTCTCAAGGAAATAAGGTGATAAACATAAATATTTAGTGCAAAGTCATCATTAAATAATGAAAAATAATATCAAAGATATAAAATAAGCTAAAATCTTTGTTTACTTGAATGACCTTGTGAATCGGCAAAGTGACATGAGGTTATCTGTCACTTATACAAAGAAAATGCTTTTTTTTCAATGGATTTGTGCTCATATAATGAAACTCTAGAATCGGTGAGTTGGCTACATTACCAATAATTGATCAAAAACTCTAATTAATTTATTGAACAGCCACGGGAGTCATATGATGGCGTAGTATAACGTCCGCCATGTTACAAGGTCAAGGTAAATGTTCTAAACGCCGTTGAAGTTTTGTCCATTTATGCCCTACTTGTTTTACTTTGTAAACGTTACCAGAATTTACAAGGGTAGTAATGCGTTAAATAAAAGTCAAGTACAGTAATTTCATTTTCTTCCATTGTTAGTTAAGTCCAAACTTACCGCACTTGACTTTTATTTAACGTTACTGCCATTGTAAACTTACTGTTTACAAAGTATTACATTGTCCACTTCACTGGAATTTACTATCCGTTGGTTAACTACATTTTGTAGCCTCTACCAGGCTTCTGGGGGTAGCTGGAAAGAGTAGAAATTGGCCAAATGGAGAGATAACATGCCAGGGGAGTTGGCCCGCTTGAGAGTAAAGATCGGGTGCGGCAAACTGTACTCTAGATCTCTAGCGGACCAACTCCCCCGACATATTTACTCTATTTGGCCAATTTCTACTCTTTCCAGCCGCCTCCCGAAGCCTGGTACATAGAGGCTACATTTTTCGCACAGTGTAACTTTTTACACTGCATACAAACACCGCATCATCTTGCCAGTGCCTTCAATAACAATTCTCTCAGCCAACATATGGCAATACCCCGGCAGATCTGTTGCTACCCACTCAGACATGAAACACCATTAAGGTAATGATTTTGTTCGGTCGCTGCCCCGTAGGGAAAAGCCACTATAGATGTCTATAAACACGTAATCTCATAAAGGGATTTGAATGTTGATGTTGCTTGTAGTTTAATATGTGAGTTCAATTGTATTTGTCATGATAATATGGCACTGTTTTTCTTTTGAATAAATCCAGGAAGAATATATTAGGATGATATGTCTAATCTAATGGATTTTCAATAAAATATCTAACATCAAATTAGTGAGGTCGTGTGGCGTAGCGGCAGCGTTCTCGACTCGGAACCAGAGGCCCCGGGTTCGAGTCCTGACATGCCACCGATCTTGTGCCCTTGGGAAAGGCACTTTGCACGACTTTCCTCACTTAGCTCAGGGCAAATGAGTATTGTACTGTCCCTGTGTTGGTGGCGGCATTAATATAAGTTGGAAAAAAAAAAACTTGAGTGTGTCGTCACCACGTCTTGTGATTACATGTTTCGGAATAAAAATTTTAAAAAATCAAATAACACCCGACGCTACATGGATGTTGGCTTTTCTCCACCCTTGGGTGGCGCGTATGGACCCTCTCTGGCCAATGGATACTGCCTGGCCAATTTGATACTGTCTTTTGCCACCCTAGGATCTGCTTGGAGATAAATTGGAAAACAGGAGTGGCTCTGTATTGTGGCGGGCTGTATTGTGTTACACTACAACGTCTATGAGGCTGCAATTGAACAACTCTGCTGGCTTTAGTACATAATTTGTTTTGGAACAAAATCAGACACATGCAAAACTGTTATTATAGCAATGTTAATATCATATAAAACACGTAAGTAATATTACTTGTACAACGTGTCAACTTAATTAATCGATGACCATACATTCATGAATTCATACAAGCAAGAAAACTACTAAAATTTTCATAGATACGAATATGACAGGCTTTAGGCTTCGCTTCTTTCCACTCTGAAAGAGTTGTCGGTACTCAATAACATTCAACTGTCCAGAAAATACTAACAGTATACCGCACGGCACAGATATTACATTTACAAAACATACAATTATACAATATTTTTACAATTCATGTATCCTCTTTTTATTGCCATGCATGTGTCCACGTTTTATTGCAATTCATGTGTCTACTTTTTCTTGCAATTCGTGTCTCCACTTTTTATTCACGTTTTCTCAAAGGACGGTTTCAATCCTGGAAGCGTAGCATTCTTATTACTGAGATGAAATCTTAAAATCAACTTTCTTATAAAACGTCTTCCAGACAACGGCCGTCTCCAACCTCTTGCGGCGCGTTCTTCTTAACGAGCACTTGAGCATCGCTGTCTTGTCCGGGACCTTCAGCATCTTTAAGACCGTCGACTGCGGGTTGTTGAGGGTTTGGACTAGTTTCTTCGATGTAGCTGATGCCAACCGTCTTGTTGTCCTCTTCCTCTACCGGATCTTTTAGTAAACATAGTACCAAACAGTTAGTATCTTGTCATGGTGAAAAGAACAAGACAATTTCAAAAGACTATTTCAGTCTTACTTAAAATCTACATTGTATTTACCAAAACCGTCTATCTTAAAATATCCATCTGTACACAAACGTTGGCCTCTAGGTCTGTATACTCTTTTTACTGATACAGTGTGATGGTTTTATTTCTGAACCCTGGAAGAGCTAATTTTTGTTAACTTTATCATAATGGCCTACCACCAGGACTTTGAAAAACCCAGACCTAGAGGAAGACCCCCCAAAAGATGGCGGGACCAAATTATTAAGTATATGATACTGGATGGTGCCCCGAGGTTGCAGAACAAAAGGCTAAGGACCGTGCTGCCTGGCAGGATAAAGTGAAGAGGAGCAAGGGACCAGTGATGGCCTAAGCATTTAGGCCGGCAGGCAGTATTATAATGAAAGAAATCCTATTATATATTGTGGGTACAGACCTTCATTTGCGCAGTCCACTGCTGACTTGTTGGTGACGTATTGCCGGCGGACGGATACAATCTCCTGGACGAGTGGTACGGCGATGAGGAAAGCGGCCGCGATGTAGGCCCAGGACTGGGACACGTTCACCCAGTGCTGGAACTGATCTCCGTTCATAACTCCAACCTAAACAGGTAAATGTTCATCCAAAACAATATGACATCTTTTACTAGGCCTGGTTACCTTGTCTTGAATTGAAAGAAACTTTGGTACTGCCTCTTCCTTTTTTCTGTTTCTCCCCCCCCCCTGCCCCTCTGATCCCCTCACTTTATTAGCCTATCCTGGTATCCAAACCTATATTAGCTTCCAATTTCGTTTGTTCTTTTTGCTAATGTCCGTTTGCATAGAGGACGAAAGATACTCGGTAGTTGAATTAGGCTTGTATACAAGGCTACCGTCTCTTTGGATTGTACACCGCTGGCAGATGGCATACATTCACGTTACTTCAGACTTTCGCACTCTATACCTCTGTTTCCCTCCCCCCCCCCCTCTCTCTCTTCTAGAGGGTCCAGTGAGGCAAACTGGACCCTCTATGACCGACTAACTCCCATGGCCAGCTACATTCTTTCTAGGCCGATTTCTACTCTTTATTCAACCTGCAAAGGAGTCTGTTAGAGCCTACCTTACCGCCAATATGCCTGCCGGCCACAAAATGACCAGGACCAGGCTGATGCCCTACATTCACGTTACTCACAACTACGATCGACTGAACACCAGGCTAGGTCAGCTTACCGCTAACATGCCTGCCGGCCAGAGGATGACCAGTACCAGGCTGATGCCGATTCCCGCCGCGAGGGCTGTGATGCGAGGCTTCCTGCAGTACCGCCGAACCTCCGCAAACGTCGGCCGGTCGTTCAGCTTGTTCGCCGACTCCATCTTGTAGGCGCTCTGAGAGAAAATAGAATGATGTTTTCAGTACGTTTAACAACTTGTGGGAGACGACTTCAACCAACTGTCGGCGAAACAGATAGCCAACCTTGCTAGTAGCCTCCGTAGCAGGATTATAGAACTTGGGGTAATTAAACCAGGCCGACTATGTTGTCTATATGCAATCAGAAAATAGCACATAAAAGATCCCAAAGATCCCCCAAACCCCTAGTTTTTGGCATCCCATGGAGGCTACCTTGCTAGCGACAAGGGGAAGTGGACGGCTCTTGCAGTCGCCTTCGTTGCAGCCTACCGACGTGGGTGACCGACGATTATATTTATGTGCATTACCTTGGAGATGCAAGAAAGCACAGAATCGGCTACAGGTACACGTATGTGGCAATGATAAGAACAGGTAGATAGGTTCCCAAGATTTGAACAGTTTGTCTCCACTAGGTGATTTCCTTACTGCGTGTCGCTATGCTACTTGAAGCAGAGTGGCATTATCTATACGTGTACTACAAGGAAGTTTTGTTCAATGGACAATCCTTGTCTGTAGACCCTCAAGACTTGACCAAGATGTAAATCTTCTACAATTAATTCTCTAGAATTCTCTACGATTAATTCCTCTAGCTCTAGGCTAGGTTTGGCCACAGGCGTTTCTGAAGAACAGAACCTACTGCGGGCAAAGCTTGGTACCAGGAGTTATAATGCACGTAACAAGCCTGGCTTGTAGCTTTCCAGCTGTGATTCCTCTGTTTCTAAGGTTGGCCTCAAACAATGTTGATGACCAGAATGTACTTCTGGTAAAGTTTTAGTACTCACCTGATATGTCGGTCCCCAGGGTTTGAGCGGGTTGTCCAAGCTGCGTGTTTTCTCCCACTCTTCCTCCAGCTCCTGGGTCGGTACCCGGAAGCTGCCGCCCAGGCTGACCATCGCGCATACCGCCCCGCCCGACAGGATGCTCACGAGGTTACCCACGATCATGCTCAACTGGTCTCCTAAACATGAGAGAGAAGTCCCAGTCAAACAGAAGACAGAACGTCCTACATCCTCGTCTATTACTCACAATTATGCTCAACTGGTCTCCTACAAATGGAAAAGAGGTCAGTCTATCCATTCATAGGTAATAACGTCTCCTAATCTGAGGTGGTCTGACCCTCAACTGGTCTCCCAAACACAGTAGAGAGTTCAGTTTAGTTTAGATCATGGACAAGATGCTCACCAGGTTACCCACGATCATGCTTAACTGGTCTCCTGGAAACAGAAGAGAGTTAGTTCAGATTAGTCCAGTTTATCTTGTGGTACGTGTCAACAGCATGACAGAACGCCCAACATCCTCCTCTACTGACCAGAGCGCACACCGCCCCTCCAGACAGTATGCTCACCAGTATGCTCAACTGGTCTCCTAAACATGGGAGGGAGTTTAGTTCAGGCAAGGAGGTTAAGTACAGTATATATTGTCAACAGCTTTTTCACAAGTACCAGTTAAGCATTGCAGAACGTCCCACATCCTCCTCTATTGACCAGCGCGCACACCGCCCCGCCCGACAGGATGCTCACCAGGTTCCCAACTATAATGCTCAACTGGTCTCCTGGACATGGGAGGGAGTTCAGTTCAGGTTAGTACAGTATATACTGTCAACAGCTTTTTCACAAGTACCAGTCAAGCAAGACAGAACTTGCAACATCCTCCTCTATTGACCATTCTAAGTCTGGGACGTGACGTCGGAAACACGTGCTTGCAGCAGAGGGTCGTACGTGTCAGATAATCTGTGTCGCCCCCCGTCTCTGTTCAGTGTTGGACGGTTGGCCCGAATGTACACCGCCTCCTTTTCTCCTCTGGCAAAGAAATCCAGAATTTTCACTTTGTCCAGCGAGACGGAGTGTCCTGGAGATTCTATGTGTATATGTTGAGATACTTCTGAACGTGTTTCCAACGTCACGTCCCGGAAGCTGCAGTAGAATAGTCCATTCCATGAACAAGGCTGACAGAGTTGGCCTTCTTCAGGGTTGAATGACCAGAACAATACAGAAAAAAAAAATGTCAATAGAGCTTCCTACCAGTATTTTTGATGAAGTTGCCTCCCATGAGTCCACCAGGTAGGGTTGCCGCCACCGCTAACCAGCACACCAGTGCCAGCGCGCTGCCGACCGTCGCTCCGGCGATCATTCCCGCCGCCGTGGTGCGGGCCCAGAACAACGCCATGCCGATAGGGATGACTGCAGCCCCGATCAGAACACCCATGAACAGGTACAGCCAACCCAGGTTCAGTCCTGTAGAAACATATTCAACACTTAAAACCTGATCAATGTAACCATGTCTTGTCCTGTGTAAATGTATGCTGGGCTCCATTGGAAAGCAGCCTCTACAAGCTGAATGGGCTACTCATCCGTTTTATGATGAAATAGATCAATCAAAACACCCATGAACAGGTACAACCAACCCAGGTTCAGTCCTGTAAAAAATACACTCAACAGTGTTGTATCTGTATCTGTATAGCCGGTATAACCGCCTTTCGGCGTAACACACCAGCTTCACGGGCACGCGGCGCGGCGACAGCTAGCTGAAACTTGATCACCCATGACACCCATGAATAGGTACAACCAACCCAGGTTTAGTCCTGTAGAATAGAAAATGAACACGTCTGGAGTTCAATTTTCATCAGTCGCCTGATATCGCTCTTCGTCAAGTATTCTAACCAACTGACTTCTGCCCTGTTTGTATTAACAACCGTACTATCTCAGGCACGCCACGTATATCCAGAACTGTGCTTTGGGCAAAGCTACGCTCTTGGATACGCGGAGACTATCCAGAACCGTGCGTGATCCTTACCCTGGAGCATTCAGGCATAGAACTAAATAGGCAGGGTTCTGGATACCTAATGACCCACTTCAATTCCAAAACCTTTTTTCAATGACATCAGGAGTGGGTCAAAGTTGCCCAGAAGTCTGAATCACCCGTCGACCATTTTCTACCCGTCGAACAAACTGCCGAGTCGACCATCAGAAGAACAAACAACGTTACAAGTAAACAAACGATAACAAATTGACTAACCTACAGAATCTGCCACCAGGACCAGTGGCACAGTTGCTGCCGTCACCACCACGATGTACCAGTTCTTCCTGCTGAGCAGCAGGTTGAGATAGTTCCTGTACGCTCCGTGTGTGGGACAGCTGTACAACCAGTACTCCTGGGTTAGCTTCTCTCCCTTAGCGGCCTCCTCCTAGGGCGGGAAGTTAAAATTTAGCGGACAGCAGTTTAATTAGGCTATTCAATGATTAAGCAGACTGCATACGTGCTTTCTGCTTTGGTGTGTTGCTTATAACTCGTGTAAATATTTGATAGGCTTAATAGTGCGCCAGCCTTCACAATACCTTACTTACTCTGGCGATGGTGAACTTAGGGCACCGCCACATACTTCGTAAGAGTTTCGACGTGGTAGGAATGCCAAGCGGTCTGTGACAGAACCAATTCCTGAGAAAGATCTAAGACAGCCTTTTTTTTTGTAACAAGACATCTCAGTTTTGTACGACACATACACGGGAGAGAGGGTGTAGTGAGCACACGAACCTTGCAGAGTTTGCAGTTGGCCACAGGCTTACACTGGCACTTGTCGGCCTGCCGAAAAATCCGGGCTCGTCTCTTCCCACACAGGGTACAGGCACTGTCTGACAGGTTCTGGAGGGGGTGTGTGTGTAAAGATATACGCAGATGAGCAAAGAGGCAATTAGCCTTTTACAATGAATATAAGCATTGCAAACAACACAGGAGTTAATGCAGTATTGCCTTCTCTATCAGTGAATTTATAGCTACTCAACTGGACATGCTTAACCCTTAAGATGCAGACATAGTTAATAAAGCTGTTTAACCTCTGAAAATGCGAATAGTCCCTTAAGATGTTTTACCATTTTGAAGATGGAAACATAGTCCTTGAAATATCATACCACAATGGAGGTTCTACCATTAAGAAGATGTAGACAGTCCTGAAAAGATGCTTCACTTTAACTAAGGTGCTGAAATAGTCCTTGAAGACATTCTACCTTCCTGAAGATGCAGACGTAGTCCTTGAGGATGTCGTAGACGATGATGGAGGTTACGGCTATGATCTCGGCGGAGCCTGTGGACATGACAGCCATCAGGATCATCAGGACAACAATCACCTGCCCCGCGTGGCCCATCAACCGGTGTACAACTACAGGGGCCACCAGACCTGGGGACGAGGGGAAAAAACGTTATCGCCTGGCCACCAGACCTGGGGACGAGCAGGAGAATCATTATCACCTGGCCGGCATGGCGCATCAACCGGTGCACAACTACGGGGCAACCAGACCTGGGAATGAAGATAAATCAGTCAATCCAGGGCGTCATGTTTCCTACGGAGGAACCCCTCCCTTGACTTGCTCCACTCTCGTCTTCGTCTGGCATTCCTGGGCCATGCAGGGCCCAGGCGTTGTACAAGACTGTCCCTCCACCTCGTACAGGGCCGTCCCCTACGTCCTCTCCATTCCCGGGGTGTCCACTGAGTAAAAAATTAGAGATTTAATCTTCTACACACTTAGTGAAGCGTGCTAGATCTCTCCGGTGGACATGGCGGCCATCAGGATCATCAGGACAACAATCACCTGCCCCGCGTGGCCCATCAACCGGTGCACAACGACAGGGGCCACCAAACCTGGGGACGAAATTCAGGAAGGGTACTAGAACGTTAAATTGTTATTCTAGCAAACTAGCCCTCTAGCTGCTGGGCAACATATGAGCTCTCAAACAAGTTCTACTGTAGACCAATGTCCAGCAGGATTTGGTCATCGCAACTTTCATGTCATAAGACTCTGTATATTTAGCTTTCAGTTATCTAAACTTTGAATGTCCTTCTGTTTCTTTAAACATTCAAAGCGGCCAGAGTTAGTCAAATCTTCACCTTTGTCCACGTCTTCAGCAGACAGCAGAGCCTCCCCGTTGACCGTGCCGAGCGCGACGTACGCCAGCCCCACGGTGGTCGCCATGGAGAAGGGGATGGCGAACCACGTCAGCCCGCCGGAGATAAAACCCCACACGCCCTAAAGACGACAGGTGGAGGGAAAAAAATGTTAGATACATACAGGCTAAATTCTGTTGTCGTTGTTGTTACCGCTCAGGGTCCTAAGAGGTAGAGTTGATAAATTAGTGGGGTCGCGTGTGACGTAGTGGCAGCGTGCTCGACTCGGAACCAAGAGGTCTCGGGTTCGAGTCCTGACATGCCCCCGATCTTGTGCCCTTGGGAAAGGCAGTTTACACGACTTTCCTCACTAAAGTAAAAATGAGTATTGTCTTGTCCTGTATTTGTCCTCTGCTTGGTGGCGGCATAAAATAAGTTGATATAACCGTGCTGTCACCATGCCTAGTCATGAAATGTTGACATATAAAAAAGTTATAATAAATTAGGTTTCACAGTTGGGAACAAGCGTTACATTGCCGGCAAAATTATGTCTTTTCCGTTGAATTTGACCAGTGCGTGTGATTCTCTATCATATCTAACCTCCAGTGGCCGTGCAGCCACGGTGCTCTGCCAGTAAGACTGATCGCAGAAGACAGCCCCAAAGTTACCGATGATGTTGATAACCCCGAACATCAGACCTCCGGTTGAGAAAATGATGAGATAGCTCTTTGCATAAAATAACCTGTGTGAATCTACAATAGCTAGAAGCACTTACTTACCTCTAGTGGTCTTGCAGCCACGGTGCTCTGCCAGTAAGACTGGTCACAGAAGACAGCCCCAAAGTTGCCGATGATGTTGATGACACCGAACATCAGACCTCCAGTTGAGAAGAAGGTGAGGTAACTCTGCTCCTGGTTGCCTGCCGGGCCGCTGCTGCACGTTAGAAGGTCGTACACGGTCCTGACGTCACCCAGTGGGTTCTGCTGGACAGAACCACCGTCCGAATACACCTAAAGAAACACACACAAAACAAAAAATATAAACAAGAGGTTGAGGAAATCTCCGCGAAATATTTAGAGTTTTCTCGGATGTCTTTTTTGATTTTGGTTAATTTATGGTTCAAGTAATGTTCCTGTCTTTCATTACACGTTTTTATCGATAACTTTTTGTCACCTTACGGTAAACCTGGTAAGCATATTAAAAGTGTTTAACTGCAAAACCCACAGACCCTGATAAAATAAAAAAACTCCCATGAATTAGTACCCTCCTCTCTAGTCCATACATGTATGGCTAGGAAAGTCTGTCAGCAACCAACTTTAAAAATTAGACTGATTCTTCTACCTTTTGAACTGTACAGTATTTCCTGTTTGTCGTTAAGAGTCAATAATGGTGAGGTGTTATACTACAGAAGTTGTCGTCACCCATTCTACTTCCCATACAAGTCAATTCTCCCATCAGCACCAAGACGGAGGGTGATACAAAGTTCTTTCTACTTTGCTACGATAGCCAGACAGAGTCACGTCTTTGTTAGTTACCGTCAATGGTGAGGTGTAGTTGTATCCAGAACCGTGCCCATCTTGGTCTATGCCTGAATGAGTTAGGTTTAATATCAGGCACGGTTCTAGATGCAACAGTTGTTATGGTAATGAAGCTATAATTACCTTCCACAGGATGGTGATGAGCACGGCGAAGATCAGCGCAGTGTTGAAGTAGGACACGTAGAAAGTGGCACCGAGTCCGCCAATCAGCGTGTAGGTGCCTTAGACCAAAACAAAGCATTACCTTTTATGTACCCATATAGAGTCGAAATATTCTCTAGCCAGTAGTTCTTTATAATACTCTGTCAGATACAATGTCCGTTGACCATATATATAGCATCATGTTAGACACATACCAACTAGTAATTTTATTATTTGCCATACATTGTACCCGTGACAATCGTTGTGCAATAAACTTTGACTTGACTTGACTATATACACCCTACACGTGGTGAGTTAGAGTACTCAAGAGCCTCAACGCTAGATGAGTTGCTAATGTCGAGTTCAGTAACATTCATATGAGACAGTAAGGTTACATTGTATTTAATTGCTTTGTATTTAACATGCTGCAGCCTTTAGCTGTTACTCAATATAATCAATACTATCTTCATCATCATTTTCATTAACATCATAATTTTTATAATCGTAATGTTATTATTATCCCTTGGAGGCTGTGGAATAGTTGAGCCCTGGTCTAGCAATGCTTGATGTACGCCAAAAATCAGTTACTCAAGCTTGATATAGATTTCACAATACTCCACTGTATAGCTACATATGAAACAACATTTAGCTTGTATAACAACAGCTAGCATATAATGTGACCAACACCACAGGGTGTCTGCCACAGCACCAGTTACAAGTACCATGGTAACAGACCATTAGCTGCTGTGTTACGCAGAAGGGCGGTTATGCGGGCTATACAGATACAAATACAGAGGTCCAACCCACCTATAACAGCGGCCAGACAGATGGCCGCCATCTCAGTAGTCAGTCCGTTGACCAGGCTGGTCATGGAGGCGATCCCGCCAAGCATCAGCATGGTGGTGACTAAAACGTTAGTCAGCAGGGCGAACACACAGTACACGATGTGCGCCTTCGCACCAAAACGGGCCTTAATTACCTGAAACAATCAGGGGAAGAAGAACAGTACAGAGGGGTTTGAATGAATGAAAGGCAAGGGAAATAATATGCAGAATATAGATCCACGCGTATCCATGCCAGACCAATGACGGGCAAATCTACATCTTGGATACGCGGATACTATCGCGGATAATCCAGTATTGAAGTCACTGCCTAATAGCAGCCGCTCCAGACCCTCGCGATTCAGCTCCGCCCATTGTAAGCGCCCAACAATCATCTTCACTGCAAGGAGAGTAGCCGGTCACACCAATAACTATTCTAACATTTAAGTCTTAGATGGCGTCTTAGAAAGTGTATAAAACACGTCTTTCACCTGTAGGTATGTCTTGGCTCCCGGCGCCTTCATCTTAAGCTCCACAGACAGGATGGCGAACACGATGATCTGCACGGAGGCTCCGGCGGCGTACCAGAACGGGCCGCTGATGCCGAACTGCGGAGGGGGCAGAAGGAAACGTAAGTTTTTGTGAATGTTTTGTGTAATGGGTGAGTGAGTGAGTGAGTGAGTGAGTGAGTGAGTGACTGCATGAGTGAGTGAGTGAGAGGATGGCGAACACGATGATCTGCACGGAGGCTCCGGCGGCGTACCAGAACGGGCCGCTGATGCCGAACTGCGGAGGGGGCAGAAGGAAACGTAAGTTTTTGTGAATGTTTTGTGTAATGGGTGAGTGAGTGAGTGAGTGACTGCATGAGTGAGTGACTGCATGAGTGAGTGAGTGAGAGGATGGCGAACACGATGATCTGCACGGAGGCTCCGGCGGCGTACCAGAACGGGCCGCTGATGCCGAACTGGAACGGGGCAGGAGGAAACAGAAACGTAAGTTTTTGTTAATTTTTTGTGTTATGGGTGAGTGAGTGAGTGAGTGAGTGAGTGAGTGAGTGAGTGAGTGAGTGAGTGAGTGAGTGACTGCATGAGTGAGTGAGGATGGCGAACACGATGATCTGCACGGAGGCGCCGGCCGCGTACCAAAACGGGCCGCTGATGCCGAACTGGGACGGGACAAGAAATGGGAGCGATCTTAACTCCGTAAGTTTTTTGAATGTTTAGTTTGATTCATTATTGTGTACGTCTATACGCTTGAAGCCAGAATTTTTTTGACTTTCAGAGTGCTCTTATACGGCCTTTGGCTACATGAGTGAGTGAGTAAGTGAGTGATTGAGTGAGTGAGTGATTGAGTGAGTGAGTGAGTGAGTGAGTGAGTGATTGAGTGAGTGAGTGTATGTGAGTTATGCAGCCAACAGTGAGTGAGTGAGTGAGTGAGTGAGTGAATGAATGAGTGAGTGAGTGAGGAGCGAGTGAGTGAGCGAGTGAGTAAGTGTGAATGTGTGAGGGTGTGTGTGTGTATGTGTGTGTGTTTATGTATGTGTATGTCTGTGTGTGTGTGTGTGTGTGTGTGTGTGTGTGTCTAGAGGAGAGTGTTTCATACCTTACTAGCCACCTTACAGGACTGCAGTAGTGTCGCAGCTAATGTCCACTGCGACACGATGGTCGTTGGAGTCATTTGTACACGTAGAAGTAGAACAGGGTGGGTTTTGTCCTACCTTACTAGCCACGGTACACGACTGCAGTAGTGTAGCGGCCCAGGTCCACTGTGACACGATGGTTGTTGGAGTGTGTGTGTGCGCGCACGTGTGTGTGTAACTAGTCTAAAGAGGAGTGTTTCGTACCTTACTAGCCACCGTACACGGCTGCAATAGCGTGGCGGCCCAGGTTAGCGACACCAGACAGTCATATGTACATGTAATGTATTAGTGAGTAGAAAGTAGAAAGTAGAACAGGGTGGGTTTTGTCCTACCTTACTAGCCACAGTACACGACTGCAGTAATGTAGCAGCCCAGGTCCACTGCGACACGATGGCTGTTGGAGTGTATGTTTGTGTGTGTTTCATACCTTACTAGCCACCGTACAGGACTGCAGCAGCGTGGCGGCCCATGTCCACTGCGACACGATGGTGGTGGCCGTCAGACCCACCGACACCTGACCCCCCGCGTCGAACGCTGTGTCCAGGTCGTCCTGGTCGTGATACACGTACTTCCGCACCAGGTTGAACACGTACGCAACGAGCCCTGGGAAAGAGAGTCACACACATGAACACATACGCAACTAAGCCTGGGCAAAGAGAGTGATATCCATGAACACATAAGTTTCTTTCAGTGGCATTTTGTTTAAAATGTTGTCACCCTCATTGGTCGGTCTCCGGCCGGTCCCCGATAGATACTCTGACAATGTCTTGTAGTGACCCACGCAATACACATTTCAAGCCTGCAATACACATTACACATTTTACCCGTTCTTACGAAGTACACATCTATATTCTGTGCATCTGGTCTGTGACGTAACAGATTTGTCCCGGTGGACTGCCGACAACCGTTGTTCTCACGGCTCGGTCACGGCGTCTTTTTGTCAACGGGGCCCGGGTAGAATTTAAGTCAGAGTTAAATTCTTCTCGGGCCCCTCCGGGCCGAAAAATAGCCCGGTAGCCCCAGGATGTCCCGCGGGGCCACGTAGGGGTCACGCCCGAAAGTGCAAAAAAAAAAGCAGCCTGGCAACTACCCGGCAGGACCATTTTTTTCGAATTGGGACCAAAGCTTAACTTGAGTTTGAGTTTGATGATGCGCGCCTTACTAAAGGCGACTTAAGAAACAATTAAGTGACCCGAGGTGCCTTATAACTACGCCATCCCACCTGCTCCATGGAATTAAGCATAACGAATCTATGCATTAGCGTCGGATTAAGGTTAAACACGAGATTATCCCTTCGACGCTTAGCTAATAATGGGTGCACTTTGGACCATCTAAGCTACTTACATAATACTCCCCGCCAAGGGATTAACACTTACATGGTAAGAGTACTGTAAAAAGAACATACTGCCAATGTCATGTACATGCAAACCTTTTTAGACTAATCGTACCATTTTAGATACACTACCAGGGGCTTGAACGTTTTAACATGAAGGTTATGGCGGTATTACGTGCGATAATCTTTAGATAATCGTTAGGTGTAACATTGTCTAAGCTGTTCTGGGGATTAGCACACCTAGAGGAAAACATTTCCGGCTATAATTTGTACTTAAAACTTGTAGCTGTGGTTTTGAACGGCTTGAGGTGGCTAAGGCTTTGAATTATGTTGTTTTGACGCATCGGATCTGATTTATTTCTACTGAATGTTGTCCACTACAACTAACACTTAGCCAATAGCCCTAAACATCGCGCCATATATCAAGTTTCCTTGCTTGACATATCTCGATCCTATATAATTTATAAAACTAGAACAGGAAAAATTAGTCAGAAAATTTGGAGGTACGTAATCTACCTTACAAAAATACAGTCACTGATCGAAGAATTTTTACTAACGTTAACAGGAACAAATAGATATTATAGAAAATATAAGTAAGCAGCCTTCGCCATAACACAACAGCTTCACAGCCATCTGGCGAAGGTAAACATATTGGTTTTTGTTCTGTTTCTTCTTATGTCAAGCGGGTGTCACCATAATTGTAAATAGTGCTGTGGCAGACACTCTTGGGTGTTGGATAACAATATGTAGCAAGAAAGCAGGGCATACACACTCACACACACACACACACACACACACACACACACACATATATATATATATATATATATATACACACACACACACACACACACACACACACACACA